AGCCAAATTGTCATGATATCAGCAGGGAGAAAATGTCTGATACTTTATTTCTTCGCATGACAACTGAAAACTCTCAAAAGCCAGCTATAGAGAATGGCGAACTAAAGATACAGAATTCATCGATCAATGACTATCGTTTTTTGAACTAATCAATAAGTCCTATGAAATGCTGCGGACCGCAGGTGTATGCAGTGGGAAACGAACACGCGCTGTTGTCCTTACCGGGGAGCAGTGCACTTCGCCACCACACCATCCGGGCCCTTCGTTTTGCCCGTTCCCCACCGCATGCACCTGCGGTTCGGAGTTTTGCAAATATCTCAGCATTTCATACGAGTTATATTTCGCAACATACCCTGCCATTAAGAAGAAAAAGGCAATAAATAAAAGGGTTAAGATTCTAATCAATAAGGACGAATTTCTCCATATATGGAAAGGTAAATAAAAAGTAAACATCACAGGAGATTTCTGTCTTGGAAAAGAATCGCAATTATTGCATACTCTACGATATTTCCATATACTAGATGATAGTGACTTGCTAACAAAAAAAAACTTTTATAAAAGCTTAAGGACATAAAAGGGGAAAATCCCCCTTTCTCTTTTTGCCTAAATTTCTCCATGTTTAGCGGTTTTTCTACGGAGCTCGTTTTCACTGAATGATAGGTCATTCATTTAGCGATTTATGAAGTTTTCAAAATGATGGATACCTATTTATGGTGATGTTGTTCATTGTATTTTCGTTCTTCTCATCGTATTTGCGTCAATTTCCATCCGATCGGAAGCGGTATCTCATCACCTGGCGGTCCGATATCATGTGAAACAACCTTGCGATTTCCTCTGACCTTCATCAGAACCTGCTCCAGATTCAGCCTTCTTTGCTCATTCGCTTTTTTTGGAACGAAAAGATTCACGATTTTTCTAGCGATCTGAATTGTATCTCTTATCTTGCCGTCGTTGGTTTCTGCTCGAATCGGTCGAGCTGTTGTCATTCCCGTAGCTGCCGCTGGACTCGATAAAACAGGCACTTCCTTCGGAGCTGACGATGCAGTCACTTCCTTCTTTGGAATATTACTATTTTTAGTTGGTTTTTCAGCGGCAGTTACTGTAGAGACATTAGATGTCTTCGATTTTTTTGACTTCTGAGACAAATCGGAGAACGTGTCCTTGAAACCCAAACTGACGTCTTCAAAATTCTCATCGTTTTCTAGACTGAGTGGAATCATTATTATAGATTTCGGCTTAGTTGTCGTGAATTCAATTGTGCTATTTGTCTCGGATTCAACTGGACCGCTTTCAGTAGTATTGCTTACGGTAGAAAGCCGAGATTCCGTCTCAGTTGTAGAGTTTGCTGATAATAGAGCATCCAGAATTGTGACTTTGTGTTTATCTACGACAGCCAGGCGACCTTAACATCGATAAGTACACTGAGGAATGAAGTGAGAAAAAAGCAACTAGAGATTCAAGATTGTAAAAATGTTCTGAATGAGTTAGTGGATTCTTGGAGTAAATATTTTCAATAGCTTTTGTATCAGGAAGTTCTCAATAAGTAAATAAGTAGCTAAAATAACGAAAGAAGAAAGAGCACTACCTTGGTCCTCTGCTTTTCCCTCGCCTGTGGCACTAAAAGAGACATCATCATAAACATTCTGGCTCTTTCAATGACTTTTTTAAAAAATGGCCTAATAACTCACTCTGATAAAGAAATAAGGAGTACCACGAAAGATAGTTTTACCACCAAGGAAACTTCAGCCATTTTGGACTTGCTCCAGAAGAGTTTCTTTGGAATCCCTAAAACGACGATTGCCGTTAGTGACTCCACTAAGCAAAAAATAGTCAATACATAACTTTTCCGTTCATGTCATCGCTTTTAGGAACATACCGAATACTTAATGGTACGTAAATAAAGTGTATCAATCTGTTTGATGTTTTGCATTAAGCAATGGACGAAATAATGGAAAAGTCGGTTTCGAACAAATACGTAAACGTATATACAAAAATTTAAAAATTTATATTTGCTCATATAGCTTGCCGCCCAACGGTTCACCGCGTCATCGTGGCTGAGAGGTGTCCTTGGGTGTTGGACTGCGATGTACAGCGGAAGAATTCATTCCTAGCATAGTCTTCCAAGCTGAAAAGTCTGGCGTTTCCATCAGGAAGCCTAGCTAAGAGTAAACCAATATCAGAATCGACCACCGTCCTGGTATCAATGTCGCATGGTGGTAAATACCCCTCTGATCCACAAGGGCTGCGACTGCCTGTGGTGCTGAAGACCTGGGGTAGACTTTGGTTAGGCTGACCTCGACAATCCAGAGAACCATAGTGGTTCTACCAGCAAATCTGCGAAAATGGAGATTATGCGGGCCTGCACAACCAGTGAGGACGGGCCATTCAAGTGTCAAGTGCCAAGTATATAGATTGCATGTAGAAAAATTGTTTATTTTATATGATCCATCTTCACGTCTGCTGTGCGGATCCCAGCTCTTCTCACATTTAATTCGTTTTCTCCCATCCATTCCTCATCAAGACCTTCCAACTTTTTACGTGTGGCTTCGGTTGCTGCTTGAGAATTTTCACTTAATCTTGAATGTAGCAGAATGCTAGTCCAGCAATTCTCCCTGGACTTCTTCGATAGCCGTACTGGAGAGTTCTCAATTAGGTTGCAGAGAGTGTGTTTTTCCCAGACAATTCCGGTCCCAATTTCCCGAGTTCGGAGGAATGCGAGGCTTGATTGGTCCGGAGCCGAATCTAACTAGCACAATTCTTGTGATGACGGACGTCACTACCATTGTGCTATCCGTCCCATTGCATATATGTTTGAAAATAAAATGCAAATACTAATTCAAACACTTAAAAAATGGTACTGGCGAAAAGGTTAAACAAAAGACGTCATTGGCCAAATTTGAAGTAACTTCTGTGAATCACAAGCTAATTGTTAAAAGAGTTCTTAAACGCTGTAAGAATTCAGTGGATTGACGATGAAGTGTATCATGTGTGCCTCACAAAAACGCTTGAATTGCTATGCAATTGAATATATATATATATATGTGCATCGTATAAAGGTAGCTCAATGGTATTAGTGCCAACTACCGGTGAGCACAAGACCCTGGTTTAACACTGTGTCGGGCCAGTCAACTCTCTCATCATTTGAGCTGGGCAATTTGGTGCCAGATTTATGGAAGCTCTTTTCAATTCACAAGACCTAGGAGAAAATTTTTACGAATACTCATTCTCCAATTAGTAACTTGCAGAAACAACATTTAATAAAAAACACCAAGAATCCTAATGCACTGGCCTAAACCAAATACAAATCCTAATGCCTTTGTGGACGCGAGGAGTAAGCTTGACAGTTCTGATAAAAACCGGTGGATCCATAGTACCTGCACTCCTTCCTTTTTTTCAATGGATCAATTTCACTAATATTTGCAAAAAATATTGATGAAACCACTACAATCTATTCATGATGATACACAATGGTTGTTTCTATATTTTCTGTGTTCCTACTACATCAAGTTGAGCACTCAAAAGCACCAGCGTTTAGCAGTTTCGCGCAAAGAGATTCTAAAAACAAAACAAGACACTTGGACACTTTTAGGCCTTTTTCCGCTTAGTACTATATTATCATAGAAAGTTGGTAATCAAATTATAACAAAAACACATTTAGATGAAGCCGCGCGAAACTGGAAGTGAACGATTAAAATAAAGTTTCATTTACTTGATGATCTTTTGAACTCAGTTATTTGAAAAAGGAAATTTCTATACTAAATAAAATACTAGATTAAAACCATCAAAAATAGACCCGAATCTAGCAAAATGATTTTAAAAACCTCCACCATTACCTTTTCGCCACCACTTCAGGAAATGTTTTTCGGTGATGAGTTGCTATGCACAGAGATTGGAATGCTCAATGAAACTCAACGGTGAAAAGGCAAAGCAATATACTCACAAAATGGTAACAAGCGATTATAGTGATGAGCACTGGCTTGACGAGAGGTTTAGAAGAAATTTTTGTAAACCAGTGACGAAAGCAAATTTACTTGCTGGGGGTTTGCCCGAAGCAAAATTGGCAGAGAAAACAAGTATGGGTATTAAGTAAACCTTGAAATGTTGTACAATCAAACTTCGATTTTGATGCGACCATGAAACATGAAATGTCTTCTAGAGAATCGCCTTTTTCTGTCATGCTGCCATGCTGGTGGTTGGAATCCGCCTGCACAGTGGAGGCGTGCACCGCCACGCTTTTCTGCGGTTACGGGAGCTTTACTTTTTGCTAGTCTTGGTGAGGAATTTTTCAACAATATTAGAAAATTCCAACGGACAGTTCGGCAGCTATATCGTAAAGAATTAGATATTCTCGTAGATAGCTTGAAGTACTTTCTCAGAAGAGAAATGGAAGTCATTTGTTGGAGATAACTGGCCATGTTTTTTATGACGCAGGCCTTTTTCGGAAGATTTGATGGAATTGATGCTACAAATTCGAGGCATTGCCGAAATGGCTGTGCTTCTGGGAAGTGAAGTAGATCCATATGTTTAAAAAATATATTTGAATATTAACCAGGACGGAAATCAAACTGGGCCCTCATTAGAAAACAAATACTCTAAAGTCGCACAAATCTGTAGCAATATGCGAATAAACAAGGAATTTTGAATCGCATTAGAGGCGGTATGGGTTAAAATCCTGTTCGATAGCTTGTCTCTTGCTGTGATGCATCATTATAATCGCTGTCGACCTATCATGTGTTGGCGTCAACACGTTTGTGATACAAGGACGGCACCGAAATTTCACAAATTTGATACAACGAAGTTCTAAGTTTAATGAAAGGTGAATAAAATATTAGCGAAGACAACACCGAGTCACGTGTAGAAAAGTGGTAACAGGTGTCCTGCAATGCACAGAGGGTAAATATTTCGATCCTCGTTGCGTCCTCGGCAGACCAAGCATTCTACCTCCAGAAGGAAAGGCCCTCCCTGAATAACCTGGAAGAATAGCGCAAGTCACTGTGTAGGTGATGTATGTATTCAATCACTTCTAGAGCACGCACTGGAGTTGAGTGCCTTAAGCGTCTTTCGAACGTTGATCACCGTCAAATTCTTCACACTCAACGCACTTATTGTGGCTCACATTTAAGCAATGCCGCCGTCATAAACATTTTATTGAGTTGGATTGAGTTTTCACCATAATGATGAAGACATGGGATTCTACGAATAATACTTTCTATCTTTTAAACACCGTCGCGTACGAAATCGAGGGAGAGCGATTGTGGCATTAATGATAGTTTTGCTTCAACATTATTACTTTTATGAAGTATGCTACTTTATACATCTTACGAGTCCTGAATTACGTTTTTCCATTAAATTCGACGGATCGGGTCGGATTATACCAATTCCTTGAATGTTCCTCACAGAGTGATCTCTTGACCGTCAGGCAATGTGGTGCGTTCCCAGGTGGCGGATAGCTATGCGGGCACGTAGGTGGATCAAGGAGATGAACCCCTGTTTCTGCTGCGCGAATTGGCCACACACCTTCTGCATTAACGAAGATTCGTATGTAGAAAATCGTCACTTGAGTGGATTACGTTCTACGGGTCAATTCGAGCCAAAGTACGCAATCAAGCGAGAGGGTCATGAGTGAAATACTACACGTGAGTGTATCCATCACTCAGCTTCAGAGTTCACCAAGCTATACATAGATATTAAATGCTAAACGCAGTAAAATAGGTGAGGGTCGGTTTCTTGATACAGAAAAAGCTCTCAACACGACAGCGTTAGGTGAGACGAGTAAGAGGAAGGTGCTAAAATCTATGTTCCGTTCAAGGCTGCTTATATCTTGAAAGAGTAAACGGGAGATCTGCATGGCAACCATTGCCAAATTAGCTACTATCCTTTCCTCTTATCGTAGGTGTCTGTAGTAATCACAACCGTTGTCCCTCATATCGCTTTGCGATCTTGCAACATGTAAATCTTTTCACTTCATTGTGAGAAACTTTGGTTGTCACAAACATCCTTTATTATTCAAGCTATTTTTATGCAATCAGAACCTTTTGTGCGTTGTTTTTGTTCCAAACCATCATGAGCTCGATAAAACAAAGGTCATGAGGTTGTTTGGGAAGCCGTCCTCAGTAATCCGATCTGATCACGAGAGAGCTGGATACGGAAGTCGCCGAATGTTTTCCATAAAAGGTCGAGACCTGCGCCAAAGCATCGCCGACTCTAGAAGACATTTAAATAGCCCAGTTATTATTGTATTTGCCTCTCCGTTCATCAAGTGAGGTACGCCGTGTAGTTAATCCAAGGTGTTAACTCTTAATGTACATGATCAGCATTGTATTTTAACTATGCTGTCATGTATTTTATATAACCATAGCAGTGTTTCACTAGCCTATAGTCTGGGTCATTATTTTTATAAACTCAAGTTTGAGATATTGCTTTGCGAAAACTACGAAAAAGAGCAGCGTGGCAAGTTCCTACGAAGTCTAGCATTTTACTCAAAGCTAGTGATCATAAGGTACGAAGAACTAACTCGAAGTCCTAATTTCCACCAGCAACCACGATATACCTCACGAACACCTAAATTTTCCTAGAACGTCTACGTTACGCTCCTCCTAAAAAGGAGTACGTGATGGAGTATTACCGCGCTTTACAGCAACGTATCGAATGAATCCAGAATGAAAGCCATCTTCGAATTTCTTGTTGAACACGAAGGAATAATAAATATTCACGGCTTGTTCATTCAGCAGGTTAACGTTCTTTTAAAAAAGTGCCTAAACTCTCGATTTTCAAGTGGTTTGGGGATTATTACGAGCAAATTAGAGGAATGGCAACGGGGCAACGGTTGGCATCAACTCTCGCCATTGTGCTCATGTCCAAAATAGAAGCACCCGCTATCGATCTCCGGCCGCTACTCTCCTGCAGATATATAGATGATTGTTTTGTCGTCTTCTCTACTTAGGACGAGATGGACAAATGCTTTGAATTGTTGAATAACTTGTCTGAGTATATTAAATGCACCCGGGAGAAACCGAAAGAGACCTCGCTACCATTCCTTAACGTTCAAATCATCTTACCAAGTAGCGGTTATATGATAAAGTGATACCGAAAACCAACTAACAGAACACCCTGGTTCATTTCCTCTCTTCCCACACTTCACACACAAAGAGTGTGAGAAACATGTTTCGAACAGCCACCTCTGTGTGTACAACCAGGAAACTAAAGAAAGAATCGCGCAACTTGGCTCGGTAAATAATCATCTCCAGTGGCTGAGAAATAGTAACCACACGAAATAAGTTTAGTAAGAAAGCGACGCCCGAAAACGATACACTTGCCCGAAAGAAAATTCCGTTAAATTTACACTTCAACAGCGATGAAGTAAGTGTAGCTACAAAACGATGCTTAAGAAAGGCGGGTCTAGAGGAATCAGTAACGATAGTTGAAATGTCACTGGATACTTTACGTCGTCATTCAGTTCGTAACCGCCTTTTTGACCGTCTGTGTTGAACACATAATTGCGTAATTTGCCCTTATGGTCGGCACGGTAACTGCTGACTTGTGATATATCTCATCTCTTGTAACACTTTAGGAGATGAATAAATACATTGGCTAAATGAAAAGGTCTTTCTGCATCCATATAAAAAAACACCTAGGTGGCAAACGAAAAAAAGACAAGTACCCCACTAGTGACGCATACGATACAAAAGCATAGCGGAAACGATTTTGACGTTAAAGTCACTATCCTCACACAGGGTGCCAAAACACAAACGCGCAAACTTTTTGAGACTTTTTGGGCAAATGCCAAGGGCCCTAGAATGAATAGCAGGGAGGAAGGCCCAAAGGTTAGAAGCGATTTGTCCCTTGTCTTCTTATTGTTTTCTGACGTGGAGTGGTGCAGTCAACAAGCATGTGCGACTCTTATCGGCTGTTCTTTGTTCCTCAGGGAAAAACGTAAAATGTTGGGTTTTTGAGAAGCTGCTGACCATGTGATTATTGTTAAGATTTTTAACTTTCGGTATATCTTATTAAAGCGTTTGGCATAGTAGATTGCATATCAGTTTACCCTCCGAGGCTCTGATTAGGCGATACTTCGCAACATCAGCTACTGTTGTGTCGTATGTGTTTTTTGTATAGAAGTAACCTATATATAATAGAAGTATAGATATACTGTATAGAATGTATAGAAGTATACCTATAAGCTGTATAACTCTTCGCGATTGCTGAACAAAGAAGACGAAGCGTTATATGTTAGACCATTATTTTGCAATAACCTAGGGTTAGTTTGACTTATCAGTGGATTAACGACGTCGTATTAGCTTATCAATAAATGAACTACATTGATTATGCGTAAAAATTTAAACTGTATACAATTTTGAACAACTGTAAGAATTCTTTCAGATTCGATTGTTACCGGGACTAAATCGTTTAACTAGTGCCAAGGTGAATCACTTAATTGACTGCTTTATTTGATCAACTTCACACCCTAGTAACTGTTTCAGAAAATGGTGGCAGACAAACTCCCGAAGTTTCCTGCGAAAGGACCAGACCTCAGGATCGCAGCCGCTCTATTAAGAATGCTTTGCCACATTTGTGTCGACCAAGTGGCCAGGATAAGGTTAGAAGTCTGAAACTATTTTTTTCTTTTTTTAAAACAAGAGAGGATATGAGAAAAAGTTTCTAACTCTTATCGTTGCACCAATAGTTAGATGTTGTGGAGGTACCGGAGCAAATGTATTAGCCATGTTGAGCTGACAGTTAGCCATGCAGATGCCCGTTACTGTATTCCCGACGATGATGCAACTTTGTGAATTTTGTGCATCAACTACAATGAACTTCTTTTCAATCAAGGACCGCTTTTACTGACTCGTTTTATTTATCAATGTTAAACAAAACATAATTGATTATCATAATGCGTAAGAATGAAAAGTGTCAGATTAGAGAGGGGGTTGAATCGGAAAAAGGCGTTCAAAGCTGTTCGAACGGAATCTGTTTGATCTCCTTTCTGTCCAAAATAAAAAAAGTATTGCAGGAGAATGGCATATAGCACAGAAACATTTTTCTGCTATTTCTATACAATTTGTTCTTTGCAAGCCGACAATAAAATCGACTTCTGCAAGGTGGATTGTCAGGAAAAAACACAAGTTGTTGTCACCGGACAATCACTACCATCAACAGCTAGGATCCTGCATAAAATTACGTCGCCGGCTGACCATGCCACATTTGAGGGATGCACCCACTGAGGAATATCCGACTTGATATGATGACGAGGGTGCCACATCGAGTAGACGAACAAGTGTAGATTACCCACTCGTACTATACGCTATGATAAAGGTGAAGACGTCGAAACGTGAGTCGAATGAAAATTGTTCACCAATCTCGTATAAGCTTGTCAAAGAAAGAATACATATTGGTGACCGACAATTCAAAAACGAATCTTTAGTGGTCCAAACGAAATTTTTCTGCAGTCACATTTGGGAATAGGTTAGCGCAGGAATAATGATGTCGTTTAACAAGCGTAATTAGTTGGTCGAGTAACGGAAGGCTCACACTAAGCCATCCTACACGTAGAAGAATAAGCTTTAGACTTATTTGAGAAACACTTTCTCACTCACAGTACATATCAACGAACTGCCTATACCAACAGCTAGGTCCCACGGCTAGGAATACTTAGGAGTACAGGTGCTCCGCGCGACCTTCATTTAAGGAACTTCATAATAACGAGCAAAGTTCTTCAGTAGTATCTGAACCCGCATTCAGTTCTGAAGACTCTCGTGAATGGTCGATTTAATTAAAAGGATTGGATGAAAAGAGTGCTGGAATTTTTGCCAAATATGTTATGTAGGGTCATGTGGGAAAAAAATCACCATTATTCGGAAATACATGCATTACGTAGGACTGCCTCCGATTTCCCTATTTCTAGGTTTCGCTATACTGAAGGCAATATTCCTTACATTTGTGGAATGCTCCGATAATTTGAAATGATCAAAACTCACACATAAGTGCTGCATTTCCTGGATTAATATTTGCGACAAAGCATCTCATTGGCGAATAGGTTGTCTGCACAGTAACCTGTTGTAAAGCTGCCGATAGTATAGCTCCTCCTATTCCCGCTCTACGACCCTGTTCTTCCAAAGCATTAAAAACCTGAAAAAAAATAGACGAAAAAGAGTAAATATTCTAAAATTATGACCTAAATACAGTACAGCCGATACTCACCGCCTGCATTACAAGGCTTTGTAAGGCCGACCTAACTGCTGCTTCGCTACGCAAAATATTAGGGAGCTGTGCAGCAACGTTGACTTGTGGTGTCCAGGTAAAGCCCACCGGCAGAGTGTAGCCGGTAATCACAAAATTCACAGTTCTCTCTGTAATGTTCCTGCGTTGCGGTTTTGTAACGACAGCTTGTGAGAAATTGAAAAAAGCTCAAAAACGACATTGAAAATTCATCCTTTACCTTGTCCCGATGGGAGTACAGCACATCCTTTTACCGCCGAGATGATCGACAGACAAATAAGGAGAGAATGGCAAGGAACCTCTAGCCAATTTCTTGCGAAACTCATTGTGAAGATAAACTGGAATAGTTATCGAAAGCTCTGGTGTTCAAGATTT